ATTTTTTTTTAATTAATAAAAATGACAGGATAAATGTGCCTCCTTATTTGCATTACAATTTAAATTAAAATCAAATAACATAGCATATTTTCATTGTTTGGTTGCTCACAAGCAACAATGAATGGTTTTTTGAGCAAAAAGAGAAAGGGGCGATATGTGTCAGCCAACCCCAAGAGGGGGCGATGGTCCACAAAAGGTTGGGAACCACTGGTTTATATCATGTTCATTTAGTGTGGAAAGTTTCTTATTTTGAAGAAGTGAATATTTTTATTCATATTATGAATTATAATCTTTTTCTATAAGTTGGACTGTGCATATTGCATTTTCCTTAATCTGTTCTGAGTAATTACTTCAAAGTCAATTTAATTTAATACCTAATAGTAATTTAATTTAATACATGATAGTTAATCTATTACTGATATAGATTTAAATTAAGTCTTTTATTTTTGCATTAAATTATATGGATAAGGGTTTTTTTTCCTCTTAAAATATAAAAAAAATTCCATTTAATTTATTTATACTAGCTAGCAGCTCTAAGAAAATTTTTGCTTTACTAATTTTTTTGAATCTTATTATTAAATTATGCAATGACCATTTATAAAAAGTGCTGTAAAATTTTAAGATTACATTTTAATTTTAGTTGTAAATGGAAAAATTTTCATATTATGAATTGTTATCTTTTTCTTTAAATCGAACTGTGCATATTGCATGGTTCTTAATCTGTTCTGAGTAATTACTTCAAAGTCAATTTCATTTAATGCATAATAGTTGAATAACTTTATAGAGAAATTATTATTTTCAATAACAGTCATTGCGACTTACGGCAGAATTAAATTTGTAGATTTATAAATTTTGGTCATTGTAATACTAAGCTATACATAACAAACAATTTTGTAATAGATAATATCTGGTGGCTCTGAACCATTTATCAATCACTGGAGTTTAGATGGAAAGCTTAATATTGAAGTCCCGTCTTCGTCATCAAACATCTTCACCATTGGAGTAAATTCGAGTCCTACACAGCAGGTAAGGAAAAAAAATTACCCTTCCATTTAGTGACTTTTCTTTTAAGCGGTTTTTCTGAAGAAAGAAATTTGCCTACTTCAATATATATAAGAAATCAAAAAGATTATTCCAATCGAAATAGAATAGGACAGATTATTATTTTAAACTTAAGATAATCTAAATTCAAATAAGTAGAGAACCGATTATCCGGAACGATCGGGACTATTGCTATTCCGGATAACTGATTTTTCCGGTTTTCTGAATCGCTACAAAAAGCCGTTTTTTTAGTGTTAAACCCAACTAAAAAAAAAAAAAATATTTGGAAATAATCTTAAAAATAAGAAAAAACAATGAGATAATACACTAATGATTATTTCTGAAATGATGGTAAGGTAAACATCTTTCAAAAGAGAAAGAAAAATCCTAAAATCTTATGAGGAAAATTTTTTTTAAAAAAAATTGCGGGGAAATTTATCGAATTTCGTTCCGGTTTTTTGGTTTTCCGGTTTTCTGATTTCCGGATAACGGGTTCTGTAGTGTAGAATTATTTGCACATTTTGAAAAAGCAAAATTATTTTTAATGACTTGAGACAAAATGACAAAAATTAAAAGTTGTTTTATGACTTAATAAAGGGTATTTTCATTTAATTATTTATTAAAATTGTTTTATGGTATTTTTATTAAAGTTAGCGGTACTCTGCTGCTGTTGAATGGTCTGACAGTCGAAATTGTACTAAATATGAACAAAAAGGGCCAAGTATGATATGGATAAAAGAATTTTCTTGAGACAAAAAAAAAATGAGTTCTAAAAAATTGCTGATTGGGAAAAATATGGTTCCGATGGTTGACATCCATTTATTGCTGTATAATATTTTCTGTTTTATGTGTTCCCTAATTTCTTTTGGGGAAATCTCTTTCCCGAAATCGCCTTTTGTTTCCTCCCATTTTTTTCTTTCTATTTTATAGTTAGGTAACCATGTTCTAAAGCTGCAGAGGCCTTATATTAGTGTTAGCTTAAAATTTAAAAGAAATAAAAACACTATATCAATGAATAATTTTGATATTTTTGATTTTTTAAATAATATATATATATATATATATTTAATACTAATTGGTACTAATTTCCATTTCCTTCCTAATCATTTCTAGATTTTAGCATCAGCTGGAAGTAACTACAAGATTGACCTCTGTACAGATTTTCGATATAAAGATGTAGCTTTATATTTTTGTAATAACTCTGAATAATGTTATTTGTGAAGTATTTCATTTTTTCTTTCATACACTCTTTGTTAAAAACATTTCACATGTAAATAAATAATTTATATGTTTTTAATTTTCCTATTTGTATCATGTATCGAGTTGACTTTAATTTACAACAAATCTATGCCGACTATTGCAGGTATCAAAAATAAAAAGCTTTTGAAAACTATGAAATCGGTAAATTTCTGGTATTTTCTAATACTTGTCAATGAAACACTTATTATAAATAAGCTTTTCATGCAATTTGTAAACAAATTGTTAATTGTTTAGACAAACTAATTTGATTTTAAATTATTTTGAATTTCTATTCTTATATATTTTTGATACATTCAAGCTTATTTTATGTGTATATATATATATACACACAAAAAAAAAGTTTTTAGAATCTCAACATGATCTACACATTTTATTTTAATATAATGAGAAAAAAGTGTCTTTACCGTTATTAAAAAAAATTTGAGACAAGGAAAATCATCACCACATGTTGGTATCTTTGCTGATTTAAAATTTTAGATGTTCTGCTGGTTATTTTAAACTTAATACATTTTTTATATACTGAATAATGTTTTTTAATTATTGATAAACCAAGCAAAAAAATTTTAAGGCCTGTTTGTATGATCCAAGCTCTTGTGTCCAAGATCTTGAAGAAATTTCTTGATCCAGAAAATTGAACAAGTTGTTGATATAGTCCAATTTCTTGAATACCCCTTATTGATTATATGAAAAGCTTGTTGATGTGTAGACAGTTCATCTCTTGGTTTACTTTGTGACAGGAGACACTATTTTATTTTAATTTTTACTTCTCTAAATTTTTTTAGTCTTTTTCTCTCAAGCATCCATTGTTCTTAAAAATTGTTTGAATTCTTTATTTACTCTCGGAAAATGAAAAACTAATTCAAAACAAAAAGATTTAAATAAAAGAAAAAAACGCTGTTCAATCAATTCTCCAATCTTTTGCTTTGTTTATAAATGTTTAAGTAGTTTCTGTATTTGATGATAGAATATTATATTCAGATTTTAAAAATGAGAATACAAAACTTGTTTTTAATAATAAATAATATTTTTCACAAAAAGCTGAATCCCATTCAAAAAGCATTTTCAATTCTCATGTAACTTAATTTTTTCTCTTTTAGTTAATTTAATTATATGACTTTTATATCAATTGAAAATAACTTTTGATATACTTTTACTGCTTCTAAGATTGTTTGTAACTATTATCAAAATAGTTTTGATAAATATATTATTCTCTTCCATAATTTGTGTGTTGTGACGATGGAATATTAAGATTACTTGAGTATTGAAATTCTGTAGAATTTCCAACTTCCTGTTATAGCAACTTTTATTGTATATTTTGAAAGCCGACAAACACATTAAGATGTTTTAATTGAATTTTTGAATCAGCCAGATCAATTATATTTAAATTAACTCAATTGATAAAATAAAAAAAATTACAATTGCCTAAATTATTTATTAGCTATTATTTGAACAAGAATACTACAATATATCACCAGAGTCTATTTTGAGTATTAAAATCAAAAAATATGTTTTCTAAAACACATGAAGAAAAAAATTTAACCTTATATGTGACATTTCTATAAAGCAATAATACTAAACGTCAATTGGTTTAGACAAAACTAGGAAGGAAGACTAGAATGTGCTCTACTGACATCCAATAATTTAAACCACAACTTATAAACTTTAAAATTATTCAAGTGCTGAGAAAAATAAATTTTCATCAATTTCAGTTTAAGAACTTGGATTGTGTAAATAAACCTATATTGCACATTTTAAATAATATTTTTCCTCCCTCCCAGATTATTTATTTTTGTTTTTTTATTTTGTTAAAAAATACATATTTTTAAAACATGAGATGGATTTAAAACTTGCATAGGATATATATCCTATTCTCAATATCTATGTTTTTCCATTTCAAATAATTTTAGGCTAAAATAATAATAATACATTTTAATTAAAACTTTCAGAGCAACTGGAGTAACTGCTTATTCAGTCATAAAGTTTTAATAAAAAATTCTTAGAAATTGTTTAATTATGCTTAATATCTTTATAAATATGCATCAATATTTTTATTACTGCAAAAATAAATAAAACTAAAAGTGAATTTTTTTTAAAAAATTCTAAAAAAAGTGCCTATCTTCCTTTTATTGAGACTAAAAATAATTACCATTCGTTACAAAAATATTTATTTCTGAAACATTTATAAACAATGACTTCTGATACATATGTTTAAGCAAAACCAAAAAATTTCAAAATTGACTTAGAATTAATTGTGTAAATTAACAATCCTTTCTCAATTAATGAGAAATCTTTGTTTCAGGAGAACTGCGCAAAATATCTGTTACTGTTTTGGCAATCTTAATTGAATCTTTAGATTTAAAAGTATTGCTGAAATATCTATCAGTGTAAAAATTTGTTTTCATCTTTACAGTACTGACATATGGAATGGATTCTTTATTTCCATTTATTGGTAGTTTTGTCTGAATATATGCTGCCTGCTGTCGTACAAATTCTTCTTTTTTATGCCTTCTGATTCTTATAGGAAAATCACAAGGTTCCCATGGTCTCCTTGACATAGGGGCTGGTTCATTTATTGTACCAATAGGGGCACAATTTGCTGCACTTAAAAATCCTTCAACCCCATGGGGAGTTTGCACATACAACCACTCAGACTCTTGGTAAAGTGCTGTTACTAAAGTTCCCATTGGCAAAGACGTTTGTTGAAATGGTGGTTTACTTCCAATGTGGGAATGCAATCGTGAACATTGCATTACTACCATAGGTATGTTGGCTGGTGCAACTTTTGATGCATTACAGAGCAATGTAGTTGTATCCGTTACAATGTCCTCCTCTAACATTCCTGTATAGAATGCTTCAAAACTAATATTTTCTTCTTCATTGGACGTATCGTTTTGAGATCTTAATTTAAGGTTGCTAACTTTATTTGGCTCTTCGTCAATTATTTGCTTGCATTTAAGTTCCTTTGTTTCATCGTTTCTCAAGTCCCACGCTGAACCTCGCAGCTGTTTATCTTTAGACTCGTCTGCGGAAGGATTATTTCCAGAAACATTAATTCGTGCTAACCATTCTTGAATGCTTTCTTCGGTTTTGATCTGGCTTATTTCAGATAGTGGATCGATAGCTTTTTTAAGCCTTTCAGACTGATCTTCTGTAGGCGCCTGAGTTTGAAACCTGTTTTTTAAACTTCTATCTATCGGTTTTTGCCGAGACAGGTCAGCTTTTAAAGTGTGGCAAGCATGATCTGCTCTTTTATCACCCATCTTCGCTATCGGCTTCACTACTGAAATTGGATAAGCTTTTTCAGTCCTTCTATACTTGTCATTCGCTTCGTCTTCTGTTAAATGAGAATTGGACGATGAAAACGGATCAATAGCACGCAACTTTAATTTATCACAGTTTTCATTATTATCAGAGGAAGAAGTTTGGCGGTGCTTCAAAACAGACCAAGAAACACCACTATGTTTTGTATCGTGGACTTTTTGGCTATCACTGTCCGATTTCTCCTTTGGTGGATCTGACCCTAAAGGGTTAAGTTCTGCATTTTGGTGGGAGATATTAAATTGGTTCATATCATCGGTATTTGCATCACAGTCTTCTTGACTAGTAGAATTTGCTTTCGTTTCGGAGTATTCCTCACTTAAATTTTCATCTACTTTTTTCGAATTTATTGTTTCAACCAAATTGTTTAGGAGTTCTTGTTCATCGTTATCGTCGTCTCCGTTGATTTCTAGCCAGTTTTTAACTGAAAGACCATAAGCGGGATTTTCTGTCACTTTTAACTCCCAGTTACATGGTGTGAGTTCTTCACATGGATGGGCAACCTATAAAATTAATGCACTGCTTTAATTATACATGACATATTCTTCTAGAAACACTCAAAATGATGTCGTGAACAATATACACAAAAGTTATTGTTTAAAAATTATGATGTTGAGAATGTAAAGCGGTATACCTACATAATGTAAATAAATACATACTAACCTAAATTGATCATTTCATTAGTATCACAAGAATATGATGTCTATGAATGCACTATTTTTATTTGGGTTTCATTATTACATTTCTTTAGACTAAAAAGTTGGGGGGGGGGATTTTATTATTTATTTTTAATCTAGATCTTACGTAAGGTATTACCTACCATATTTACTATTTTTTACTAAATAAATTCTTATTATAATAATTGACATAAGTTATTTCAATGTTACAAGTACGCAACCAAAGTTGTGGTGACTGGCAAAATTTTTCGCATAAAAGAGGATAACTCAAAGCACAAACAAAAAATAAAATTTCTTAAAATTTTTTATTTGGAGGTTGAATCGCTTCTACAGTTTGGTCAGTGACCAGTAATAAGTTGCCGAGATTTTACACGCAGACTGTAGATGTAGTGACCATAATTTACTGATAACACATTGCCTCCACTCTGTTGGCTAGCTTCAAAAACTGCATGATTTAACTGCCTGGGCTTTATTGATCGTCCCCCTGTTGGCCAACTATTCTTTTTAGTTTAACTGAATGTATTTCAACCAGCGTATTAGCTGCTGGGTTCCAGCAATTTGCCTTTAATGCAATGTTTTTTGTTTGTTTTTTTATGCATTGAATTTTGACACAAATTTCTTACAAAATAAACATGAGCCTTATCTTTCTGCAAAAATTGGCAACTTTTTCAACATATCTTAACTCACGCTGGCCCCAACTGAACTTACTTACTGATTTATATTTTATTTTATATCCGTCGTTGAACAGCCGACCCAATTTTTCGGTTTACCACTTCTAATGTTCAACTCCGTAGCCTTGCAATTTCTAACGCGATCCAGAAGACAAGGGAACTCCTGGAGCAACTAGTAGGAGAAATTTGCCTTCGTGGTGGACTTCTTGATGGAACTAACACGCATTTGCGTCACATGGAGAGGAAGACCACGGGAACCTTCCACGGTTAGCCTGACAGCAATGGGACTCTAACCCATAATCCGTCTACCACTGAGGATATTTCACATCAGCACTGCGGTCGGATTCGTAACGACCAGCCATCGCCGGGATTCGAACCCGGTTCACCTCATTGGAAGGCGAACGCTCTATCCCCTGATCCATCGCGGCTCACACATGATTTTTAGTACAAAAATAATTTTGGTGAATTTGTGAAATATCTTTAGAATGCTGAGCTTTTAATGGGTCAGGGAAATTGGTTTCGAAGGAGAACTAAACGTGTTGTGTTATTTAATCTATTAATAATATTTCAACTTTGATGAACATGGTAAATGAATAAACATGAATTGATTCCACACAAAAGTAAATACTCACAATCCCACAACAAACTCTGTAGTCACAAAATGTACAATGTTCCAATTGGCAACGGATATCTTCTGTGCTTGGCTCAGAGTTGTTCACATGTTCAGGTTCATCCGCCACATTTCGATGATCGCTATTAGCAGCTGTAATAAAAATATAGAGGTCAAGATTTTACCCTTTTTTTTCATTTGTAAGAAAATTATTTTAATAAATTATTTCAATTATTCTGATGAGTAAAAATGATATTTAGGGATGCTGTTTCCTTCTTCTAACTGTACCCTTACCCAACTCCTTAATTTCATCTACGACAATTTGTTTCAAGCCAAAAGTCCTTTGTTTTTTCTAATTGATTTTCTGTAATCTTCTACAGAACACTTATAATTTACTGGTAGTGTTTGGTTAGCAAAAATATTACGAATTAAGTAAACACGGAAAATTCTAAGGTGTGTTTTTAATTTTTTTAAATTTTCTTGACAGTTATTACTACTATCAAACAATGATAATTACTTACAGGCTATTTTTGCTGACATAGGCACTGAATCGTTTTTTAACGTAATTATTTTCGTGAAAATAAAGAATTAAAAAAAAAAACTTTTTTGTTTCGATTTTCTCTGAGGCAAGCTTAACTGGAATGGAATTTCATAAAAAAAATTCAATATTTCTGAATGTAGGTAAATTTTGGCTAATTTGGTACAGGGAGGTAGAGCCTCAAGTTACAAATCAGCCCCATTATACCTTAATCCAACCCTGCTCTAATCTCTTCTAGAGCTATGTGCCTGTTGAGAATGGAAGTTACTTTCCTGACGGGTCTATACAAACAGTATTAAATGCCAATCAAAATAAATAAATCCGACTAGTCAGTGTATTCACATTTTAGCTGCACCTCTTAGCTAAATATCAATAAAAATTTCAATAGTTTCCTGACAGTTTTGAGCAGAATTTATTGCAGTATTTTCGACGAGTGGTCGATTTTCGTCAATCAAAATCTCGACTGCTGTTCCTATAGCAACAATGCTCTGCTTTTGACTGGAGCTTTATGCCTCATACCAATACAAGTTACAATTGTTTTCTGTATGATGCAAACAAAATGATTCGCTAATCAAAATATTGACCACTTTTCAAACTAAAAATAAATAAAACTAACAGATATAAAACTGAAAAGCAGATAAAAAAAATCAAGATAAATTTCAAAAACTGCGTTTTTTAAGTAAACTAAAAAAGGAGGAAAAACAAACCACGGAAAATTCTTACGTGTTTTGAAACTGCTATGCACAGCCTAGCTTGTTACTTGATTTAGTGGCCCAGCGTGTTCAAAAATACTTGTTTTCTTTTGTAATTTATTTGTAGGTCTCTGAAAACTTTAAATTTTATTTCTAAGTATGAAAAGTCACTTGAACTAAACATTTCTAAAGTTACAAAATAATCCTCTAAGTATTTCTTGAAAAATTTACAAAAAAATGACAGAAACTGAAAGTGTCTCTTCTAAGGTAGTGTATCGTCGTGTGGGTAGTGTATCGTCTGAAATAACTATTTAGCTTGCCTCTTCGAACCATTGAGACCGAATTCTAGAATGGTAAAAAACCGATCATTAGATCAAAAGTTATTCAAGATGTTCCTTTTTTTTTCACATTGTGCTTAACGTTTTTTTTTTCTTTTTTTTTTTTTTTTTTTNTTTTTTTTTTTTTTTTTTTTTTTTTTTTTTTTTTTTGAATTAACTATGACCAAAGTATTATTACTTTCGCCATTTGAAATCAACTTGAAAAGCGTAGTTTTTAAAATTCTATTATCGGCAATTTGTAATGGATTTTTTATTTTCCGATAGTGATAAATACTTTAAAAAAGACATTTTAACCAGTCGAAATGAATTTTTGTTCATGTCTCATTTTCTTCACTAAGAGTTCATCAACATTTTAAGTCGTAAAACGATGAGAAAAACTAGCCGTTCATCTAAATTTTTCAACAAAAATAATTTTTATCGAAATTTATGACGTCTGATAAGGCCTTATGTCGACAATGGGAACAGGTTATTCGTAAGCGATACTTTGAATAAGTAGCGGCATAAAACCAGAATATCACGTAGAAGTTGTCTAAAAACAGACGAGTTACGTGGATGTATCGCTAATTTTATTGTCTACCATTTGTTTTATGGATTAATATAACAAAAATGGCCTTCAGCAAAAACTAAGATTTTTGAAGTTAGATGATAACGCAAGAAAATGACAACATAAATTTCAAAAATTTCTTATATTCTCTTTATCCTGTATGAAAAATAGACCAAAAACTAATGCGATGTTTTCGGCCACATAATTTAATATTCTGCTCAAGCAAAGAAAAGTACCAAACTGCAACCGTAATTTTTTATCTTTGATAAGAAATTATTCCTCGTGTGCACTATAATAACTAGATAACTCAATATTTTTTCGAGTTATGTTATAGCATTGTAATTAGCAATGAAATTCTTTAACTGGACAACTCTAAAACGAGCCGCACGTGGAACTCAGAGGTTGATGCCAGAGATAGACAACTTTGAAAATAAGATAGAACAATATTAAGAAGAAAAAAGAAAAAAACAAGTTGAAGGATTTTTGAAAATGTTTATGAGCAAGAAAATTTTCTTAAAGTACTCAAATTTAGAATTATTGCTTGAACAAATCTATACTGATTGAATTAAAATTAAAATTACATACATGTTTAAATTAATTAGGTCAATATAATTTTAAATTAATTGGGCTTTAATATTTTATTTTTAATAAAATTTAAAAATAAAATATTTAAGCCTAAATTTCTCTACAACTTTAAAATTTAATTTGAAACGTCCTGCAATAAAATTGATTCGGTATTTTTAAGCAAGGTTAGAAAAATAATAATATTAATCTTACTATATATAAAAAAATATATATATATATATATATATATATATATATAATGATGGTGTAGCAGTTTTCCATGTCGTCCGAGCATTTTTATTGGCCGGAAAATCACGTGGTAGGATTTAGTTTTTCCTCATTCATTTCCATATTGATTCGGTTTTCATCAGCATAAAAGTCATAAAGGTATTCTTCTTCTACTTCGTCAGCGCAACAGCCCATTGCACGCCTTGGCTGCCTCAACAGCTAATAAACGCCAGCGCCTTCTATCCATGGCAACTCCCTTCCAATTTCTAATCTTTAGGGTTTTCAAATCATTTTCGATATCGTTGAGCCATCTAGTAGGGGGTCTGCCTCTGGGACGTCACCCCTCGGAGTTCTTAAAGTGAGTATTCTCATGGCGCTATTCATAAAGGTATTGCTTTCTATAAATATTTTTGTATCCCTCATTTGAAGTTATTTTCCTGTACTGCTATTATTACGCTTTTGATTCAAGAGTTTAAAACTAAGCGAATTGTTGTTTTTTTTATTATTATTATAATGTAATTCTGCTCTACATTTTAAGATAAAGTTCAGGAAGGTGGTCTAATCTTAATAACCGTTTTGCAATTATTATTTTTGTGCAAATAACATTAATATACTGTTATACGAATGTCACATCTGGCTTGTACCGACCACAGTTCTGAAGTAAAATATCCTCAGTGGCAGAATGATCATGAGTTAGAGTTATCTTGCCGTCAGGCTAACCGAGGGAGGCTTTCGAAGTTTTCCTCTCCATGTAACGCAAATGCGGGTTAGTTACATCAAAAAAGTTCTCCGCGAAGGTAAATTTCTCCCAATACTTGATCCAGCAGTTCCCTTGTCTTCTGGATTGGGTTCGAAGTTGAACATTAGCAATCGTAAACCCGAAAAATGGGTCGGCTATTCAACGACGGTTAGAAAATATAAAATAAAATATTTAATAGTGGAGCCACGATGGCTCAGGGGAATGGAGTGTTCACCTCCCAATGAGGAATGAAGTGAACCGGATTCGAATCCCAGCGATGGCTGGTTGATACAAATTCCGCACCCAGCTGGCACCGACCACAATGCAGACGTAAAATATCCTCTGTGGTAGACGGATTACTGGTTAAAAACCCTCTTGACATCAGGTTAATCGCCAGAGGTTTTCATGTCTTTCCTCTCCATGTAACGCAAATGCGAGTTAGTTCCATCAAAAAAGTCCTCCACGAAGGCAAATTTCTGGCCCTTTCTCTTCCGCAAAGCGCATCAATATTGAGTAGTTATAGTATTTTAAACAAATCTTCAATGTTTTGCAATCTTTTTGAACGATATCAAATTTAGAATGATGTTTAAATAACAAAATATTAAACGAAGATTTATTCAAATATTCACGAGATATTATTCAAATACAGTGCACTCCCGATTATCCGGGTTAATCACCGGGACAGGTCGCACGGACAATCGAAAAACACGGATAATCCGAAAACTCCTTTCATTAAAGAAAAATTCAATATCAGTACAAAAAATATAAAAATTACTGACATTTGCATGCATAACATCAAACTAGGAATTTTCCTTATTAAAAAATGTGTAATGCGTCTTCGCCATATATCGATACACATATTTTACGAACCGCATTAATGTCACCGTAATCAAATCCTCCCATATAATCTAATAAAGTTTCCACAGAGCAGCAGAATGAGAAATTGTATTTCATTCATTTACTACATCTTCTGCATCAGTTACTATCATCACTATTTGATTTAACAACATAACGATGTCTTCATCAGTCAAATACTGGAAGCCAGACTCACATGCATCACTTTGAAACCAATCTTCTAAATTTTCTTCATCAAGAATTTCGAAACCTTAGATTTCTTTTGCTTGTTCGAGAATACTGTTATCATATTTTTCTTGAACATCTGAAGAAGATAGTTCATCAAGCGGTATGATCTTTCTCCAAGATCGTGATAACGTAGACGATTTTAAATTTGACCAGGCTGCTGATATTCCATATACTTCAATCCAATAACGAATATTGCTTCCAAAAATTTGGTAGTGTTATAACTTCATGAATCAAAATTTTTTAATCCTGAAAATGTTTCTCTTTATATTTTTTGTGTGACTCCGGAATGAGCACGGATAATCCGCAAACCGGATAATCGAGAGTGTACTGTAATTAGTAAATAGATTTTTTACTTGCTGAAATCCGCATACATTACACTGTAATTGTTTATTACCACTGACCAACAATCAATTAATATCTTTAATTC